TCCACCTCTTCTGAGAATCTCGTCCAATTACGCCACCTGTAAGCTAATGTGCTGCTGGAACTTTTGAGATTAATGCTTCCAATTTCTTTCTTTTCCTCATTAGTAGCATGCCCATCCCAGCAGGCTCTGTATCTCGATGCTTAATCTTGTGGCAGTTATTGGAATGAAAGTTGTATCTGTGCAACATGTTTTTCGAAAGTGTCGAGCACGCAGCAGCATGGCAATCCTTTGGTGGTTTGTCTCCGGCTTGAATAATGTGTGTCATTGTCATGAATTTTACGGGAGACCCATACCCACACAACAAGTGGATCACGCAAATACATCTAGCAAGTACATCTTGCAAGCAACTAAATCAGGTCAATTCCAGCAAGTATAGCAAGTGATGCTAGCGAATGCGCCTGCCAAGTGAGTCTAGCTAGGAAATTTACCAAGTGAGGATTCTAACACTCCTGAGTATCGTATCCACTCAGCTTTCAATCTCGAACATGTGTCAAGTACCCGAATTGATACTCCATCACTCCTCGTTCTCTCATTCTATCCTTCCCATCGCCCTCCTCTAACATCCGTCCATCCCACCAACCACCATGGCCATCAGGTCTTTCGGCTTCAACGAGCTGTATGGGAGCATACCGAGCACCCTCACCAATCTCACATGGCTCGCATTCCTGTACGGCCCACACACACACACATGGACCTCTTTTTCTTTGCATGCTCTGATGTTCTCTCTCTCATACGCACTCTACAAGTCACCCAACAAGGCCCGGGCCAGGCCCAGCCCGGCCTGTACTCAACCCTACTGCTCCAGGTCGGCTGCTCCCCTCACACCCGACCACTAAGTCGGCTCCGCTTTAGCGAGGACGGGGCCACACCCAACTCCCGTTGACACCGCCCCCTCACCCTCAATGGCTAACTCTGGTGCGGCGACCCCTCTCGGTCGGCGGCACTCGCCGATCCTCTGGCCAGGTTGTGTTCCATACCATGACCTGAGAATCATGAAAGCTCGCACCCTGTCTGAGTTCTGACGGTGCCGCTTCCAGGAAATGAGATTGCGACCCAGGGAGAACACGCGCTCTCTCGCAGCAAACGTGGCAGGGATGGCGAAATAATCCCTGGCCATCCGCTGCAGCATCGACATGTAGATGGCAGTGCGCCAGTACTCTAGCACTGTCACGTCCATCCACACCTGCTCAGACAAGTACCTGCTAACCTCATCATCCTGTACCCTCCCACCCACCCCCCCTCTCCCCCCCCCACCCCCCCGCGTCGCCGCCTGGCTCGCCGACAGACGCGTCGCAAGTCGAGGAGGACTAGGAAGAAACTGGTCGTCAACGTCATCCCCCCCCCTCTCTCTCCTCCTCCACAACGGGGGCAAGTGTAGTCGGCCGAGGAGAAAGCCGTGCAGCTGCGGCCTGATACTCGACCACGCGCTCGCACACCAGCGCAATGACCTTGCCGGACGCAAAACTTAGCCCTCTCTCTTCTCGGGCTCTCTGGATGCAGCTTCTCAAAGCGATCTCATCAAACCACGCCGCCTTTATGGATGGATCCGGGAAGGTGGCGATCCAGTACTCGTTGCTGGTGATGTACGCGTACTTCTTCAAGTGGCTAAGCGCTGCGACGATAAACAGTTGCAGCGTCGCAGATGGCCCCTTCGCAAGACGCAACTTGGCGTCGATCAGGTCGTTGTAGTACGGTACCACCATCCATCGACACTGTCAGGTACGCCGTCCCCTCAGCTGCCTTGGAGACCTTGTTGAAGGGGCTGAGAAGGGCCTTCAACGCCTCTAAGATCTCCCAGTGCTAGTCGATCAGGTGCAGACTGTCCATCTTGTCCCGCTCCACACGCGTAGCGCCTTGTCCGGGTCATGGGGTGGCGTGGTGGGTGCAAGTGGGAAGCTGTTTGAGGGTCTGGTGCGCAAGGGGTGAAAAACATCATACAAAAACGACCAAACGCAATGAAGTGGTGCGTTACCCATTGCTGGCACAATCCCATAACCATCAACGCACGCCTTACCTGGGTCTTGACAAAGAAGAATATGATGGGCCTCCGCAGAACGAGGATGCGCTCGGCCATGTCGTGCGTCGAGCCCCAACGCACAAGACTGTCCTGCGCCGGGTTTAATGGCGGGCTGTTGATGTTGGCCTTCAAGTTCAAGGAGGAGTGGAACCCCTAGAACGCCCACGAGCGCTATGGCGCAAAACCGATCCATGACGCCATCTCTCTCACCATATGCAGCACCTCGCATATGGTCTCCTCGGACAAAGCCGACTGCACTGCAACGTTGATCATGTGTGACAAGCACTTGCGCTCCACAACAGCAGTGGCAAGGGGTTGGGGACTTGAACACACATGGTCAATGCTTCAACGTGCAGCCAGCCTGTTCCCACCAGCCCACGCACCAGCCCACCCACCAGCCCACGCACCAATCCACCCACAAGCCCATTCACGAGCCCACACACCACACATGCCTGAAGTGCATGCGAGAGTTGAAAAATCCCTGACCAGCACCCTCTTCCGACAACCGCCTGAGGGCGGCAATGTTGCTAGAGGCGTTATCAGTCGTGAGACCAAGACAACGCCCCTGCAACCCCCACATTACCACTACCTCCTCCACCACCTTCGCCATCTGCTCGCCCCCATGATGCCCGTGCATCTCGCAAAACTCCAGCACTTTCGTCCGCAGCTGAAAAGAGTCGTCTATCCAATGACCCGTAACCACCAGCCATGCCTTGCCGTTGGGCACCGTCCACATATCGATGCTGCTGACATCTTGCACCCCAACTCCCTCTCCCTCGCCAGCAACTCCGCAATGGCCGCCTGTAGAGGGGCCGCAGCAAACACAACGGTGTTGTGTGCAACACTCTAGCGCGAGGGGATGAATTTCTTCTCCTGCAGTGGATGTCGCACAGCGTCAGCAGCTCGCGGAACTGGAGGAGGAGGTACACATTCAGTGTGAGATGGTTTAATATGGTTTGGGGGATGGTTTGGAAATGGAATAGCATTCGATTCCCCACCCTCCATTACATACCATCCATACCATACCAGGCTACAAGCTATACCTTCGAGATCATCCCGTTCATACCATACCGTCCATACCATCCATACCATCCATCACAGTTATTTGACACTCACCACCTCGGCCTCGAGAATGCGGAAGGGAAGGTCGCAGTTTGGCAACCGCCTGCCGTAGTTCAACCTTGGTTGTCATGTAGCGCTCGATCCCGCCTGACCCCTCCTCCCCCTGCCCTGCCTTCTCTTTCTTCTTTGGGATGTTCGACCAGCTAGTGGCATGCGGCCATTCATGAACGTAGCCATCCGGCACCCCTTGTAGCCCCCCCGTGGAAACGTCTCGTTAGGCAACAAGAGGTGTGCATGGTGGTAACGGTATACCACACATCCATGCGAACTGTGTGCCAGCTCTCTAAATGACGCTCGCCCGGTGTTGGAGTGGACCCCTTCCATGAGTTCCTATAAGTACAAATCTTGCACTGCCGCTTGTGATCAGCCCGATAGGACCGAACATTTGAACTTGCCACCCCAATTTCTTCTTCCCCTTGCCACTCCCTTTACCACTCTCGGCCCCTCCCGACTCGTCAACACACTCAGGAGCGGCCACACCCTACCCCAAGCTCTCGGTCGTAAACTGGAAGCTCTCGTGTTCAGCTTCGACTTCTCAACCCCACGATCGTCTCGTGGCCCCCCAATGGACGGAAACTGGTTGGCACGCGCGTGATTTGGCCCACAAGAACCATCAATCATCGGTGGTTCGGTCAAAGGTGGGCGGAACCATCTCTTCGAGCAGGTTCAGGAATTTCACAAAAACCTGGACAGCTGTTGCGGCCAGCATAGTCTCGTACAACAAATTTATCCAAAAACCCATCAGCCATGTGGAAATCACCGTCGCCAACAATCAATCCATCTAGGCAAGAAGCCGCGCCCAGATCCAACTCGAGTAAAAAAACACAAATTTCTGCATCCACATCAGCGACGTACTCATGGTGCCGAGCCTAGCTTCAATCCTCTATCGGCTGACCAACTGATGAAGTGTGGCGTCCAGCTGCAATCACACGAAGTAGAGTTTCACTTGAATTACGACGACACACTCATAAAAAAGACAACAGGCAAAATCGGAGTGCTTGTGCTCAACTTTGATTCACCTGGAACTGTCGGCGACCGCATCATTGTTCTTGACCCACCGGGACATCTATCACCGCCTGCTTGGCCTCATCCGGAGGGGACGGATTTGGAACGACCGGGATCAAATGGACTATGCCGCGCCCTCGCCGTGCCCGTCATCTCGACTACAAACCCTGCAAACACTGGACCATAGGCAGTTGGGGAAGAGGTTAACTCAGCAGGAGGGTGGGCACGAGCAATCTGGCCCCAGAGTCGAAGAACCTATAGACTGGAACGTGCCAGAAAGTGCCTACAAAAACCATCTTTTTGAAACTATGATGGTGATGGTTCCTGTAGGCCAAGCCACTGGTTGACACACTGTCAAGTTCCAAGTTTCCCTGCAAGGGCAATAGACTAAACACTCCAGATACATCAAATAATTAAGTTGGTAGGTTTTTCCGACTTGCCAAGCATGCATGCATCCCCTTGCACCAAATTCCATACATGCAGTATAGTTCTTAGTGCATCACTACATGCATGCTCTGTTCTTTGTCCTAATTTCTTAGAATTAGAGCAGAACCTTAAAACTCACAAACTTGTTTCGCCCCACATGGATTACACCCGCTCAGCCTTCATCAGTATAGCTCGGATCCAGAAAGGAAAGGGTTTGGACAGAAGCAGTCTAGCTAGCTAGCAAATGCTCTTGAGATCTACAGTTGTTCAACCAACTACTTAGAATGACAGACTCAGCAGGCTTAGCAAATGGGGATGGTTGGGATAGGTGGGGATTAGGACCAAACCAATAACCTGCCAAATGTCATGGCAACCAACGACACCTAGCAACCCCTCGATACATCAATGACTACACCCCCTATACTAGCCGATGAATGTTGCGTATGAAATCACTACAGCATTCTCCGCTCTTAACCTCCTACTTCCTTGGGCTCACCCCACCATTCCCTCATATGCAACTTCTTCCTCTTTCTCCGCATTCTCCTCGTCCACCTCGTCTTCCCCGTTTCTCGTCAGCTTCTCGTTATACTTTTGCCCCCAATATACTTTTTGTCTCCGCTTTCTCTTCTTCTCCCTGCACTCCACGTATCCAAATCCACTCGCACTGAGATGCTCCCCGTCTGCCCTTTTCCCCGAACTTGCAGTGACCTCTCTCACAATTACCTCACAGGGCCCGCACTGAAGCCTCTCGCTGCGGGCACTTTGGATCTCTCCAACAACTTCCTCTCGGGTCCTCTGCCCGATGGGTCATGCCAGCGTTTCTCTTTCGATGCCAACTGCTTCATGCTGCCGCTTGGCTGCACCTTGGTGACGTAGCGGCAGGAGGCAGCATGCAATGCGTTCTGCGGCGTCTCCTCTGCTGTTGGTGTTGCTGCTGCGTGTGGTGGACATGGGGTGTGCTATCCAGAGGGGTCTAGCTTGGCACCCACGTGTCTGTGTGATGCGGAATTCGTGCGGTTTGGAGAGATCGGCTGTGCTCCTCAAGGTAGGGGACGCCACTTGAATTGAAGTCTTTGAAGCATTAGCGCACATTCACAGAATGGTGGGACCTCCAGTGGTTGTTGATTGGAAGCTTGCTCAGTCTTCGCCGGTTTCATAAACCTTGCATCTCGCAGTCTCACCCTCTCATGCCTCCGTATTCCACTGTTGTCCATCCGTCTGTTACATGTGTGCAGGCCAGCAGAAGAACTACTCCACCAGCCAGCCGATTCTCCCACAAGCTTCTGTGCTCACCAAGGGGACGCAGCGGGAGACGAGGGGGAGCTTCACCACAGCGCCGGTGATGCTGTTTGCGTATGAGGCAGGGCAGATGGCATTGGGGTGTGGGCTGCAGCTCGCCTTCCACTGTCGGATACCTACGTCCTCCTCTTCTCTCCCCTCCCTTCTGCTCCTGCTCACTCGCCCCTATGCTGTGCGCCCCTCTCTCTCTCTCCTTTGGCGTACCACTTCTCATGTTTCGTTGCTTAGGTTCACCTTATTCGCTGGCCTCCCCCTTCCCTGTCGTCCTTGCCTCTGATTCTCATGGTGTATTCCGCTGGCTACTTCTCCCTCACATACCGCCCCTCCTCTCCTCTGTCTACAGTTCCTTGCTCGCCATATCTCCCTCAGCTCACCGCTTGCTCGATTTGCAGCAAAGCTCTCGTGTAAAAGGGGAAACATACAAGCAATGGATAGTATGTTCAGGAATCCACCTATTCTACCAGCGAACCACCACCCCATTCCTGTCCTATCATCCATGCCTATGCTAGTAGCTAAGAACTACTTCACACAGGCGTGCAGCCGTGCTGCCTCTTGCCATCCTCCCTTGCCCTGTCTGATCATCCTCCAGCTGTTGCTTCCAGATCCAGCTGGCTTCCCGAACCTATCCTGCACACATAGAGAAAGCAAACAATCATGCGCACGAACACCCATCCATCTCATCCTACGCTGCTGCTTCTTGCTGCCGCTGCCTTGTCTGCCTATGTTTCTGCAGCCCACCCCACCTTGCTTACGTAAGTTCCAGCTCCCCGCTCACCCATGCAACCCTCCGACCCTCAGGCTCGGCAACCGTCGGCTCCCCAAGTCCCTCTTCCGTTTGTGAAACGTCGAATGCCTCTTCGGCTCCCATCCTCGTTAATCTCCGCTTCGCTATGTACAGTATCTACAGTATATACAGCCCATTCACCTCACTGCCTTACCCTTCACATTCACGCAAATGTGACACCACGCCAATTTCACCTTCTCCCTCTCGCCTCGATCCGGCCGTGTGGGCTTCAACGGCTTTGCCTTCGTCGTCTCGGCGACGGACCGGGTGGGGAGCAGCGCCGGTGTGGGGTATGGCGGAATGGACAAGCGGAGTGTGGCGGTTGAGTTCGACACGCTGCAGAACAAGGAGCACGGCGACATGAGCAGCCCACATCTATGGCTGAACGTTCGCGGCGAGGACATTTCGATGGCGGCTGTGAGGTCGCCTTTCCCCCTGAGCAACAGGAAGGCGTACACGGCGTGGGTGGACTATGAGCCGGGGGACCCCGGCACCATCCTGGTCTTCCTGGCTGACTCGCAGGAGAAGTCGCAGCAGGCGGTGCTGGAGAGGAGGCTGGCGCTGTGTGAGGTGCTGCAGGGTGCCGCCGAGCAGCCCGCCTTCTTCTTTGGCTTCGTGGCGTCCACCACTGTGAAGCCGTTTCAGCGCCACGTCATTCTTGAATCTGCAGTGGACACAGGTAAGCAGTGTGCGCTGCTAGGTAGATGAGAGTATGGCATGGTGATTAGCACTGGAGCACTGCATGAGCAACCAGTCTGGAGGACGTGAAGGAGGTGGCAACGAGGCTGTGGGGGTAGATGATGATAACATTCTGATGGATGATGTGGAGGATGTGAAGCATGTTGACAGTTGTGCTGGTGGTCATGTTGTGCTGGTAATGATGAGGGTAGTGATGGTGGTGATCAAAGTTACCATGGATCAGTTGACCTTCTGGTCGCGGGCGTCCAGACGCCAACGTCCTTACCCTGGACGCTAGAGGGAGGGGGTACCACTCGGGGGGGTGGCAGAGGGAGGGAGGGGGAGGAGGTCAAGCACATATTCTTTTTGTTTTTTTCCCATAATGAAGCCACTCAATGCATATTTCAACCAAACCTCAGCACACCTTAATCTTAAAACGAACAGCGAGCTCTAGGTTGTAGAAGACACCCACAATACATTGCTGGTCGAGAAACGCAACAATGGATTTCGATGAGGGTTCTCTAAGTAGGACTGTAGGCTGGGTTTTCTATATGCAGTGCAGTAGAAGACAATGCTTGCCTGGATATTCAATTTGAAAGATTCTGGAAATGCAGATTCTAGTATTCAGTGTTTTGACGATTGGGAAAATCTGGTAAACGTGATTTCAAATTTGACGCAAAATCGTATCGCGATTTCGCGAGACCACTATTTTTCAGGCAGCCCTGAGTTTTTTCATCCTGCGCAAGGTGGAAGTAATCTTTTGTCGAAGAAACAAACGCTTTTTTCTACGGTATTTTACGGTGTCTTTTGGGGAGAAAAGCGATGTTTTCTTGTTGTGCAAATGAAGAAGTTGTTTCTAGCAAAAAAACTGCCTCACAGCATCTCCTCATGCATCAGCAACACTTCTAACAGCCACCTCGTCCATGTTACAATAGCAGATAGGATTATTTCCTGGAAAAAGATATTGTTTCTTTCGTTCTTTCATCCGTGTCTAGCCACTGGATTCCAGCATCCAGACGCTGGACGTTGGGAGTCCTAGGCGTCCAGGGTAACCTTGGTGATGATGGGGTCAGTTCTGTGCTGGTGCTGATGAGGGTCAATCTGAAGATGGCTGTAAATAATGGTCACACAATTGCTGAATCTTACCAAGCATTTTCTTCTTTTCCTCCTATTGCTTTCATATCTCAGGGCTACCTTCTTCTCCCCGACTTGTCAGACGAACTCCAGGTGAAAAATCGTTTCCCATGCTTGTGTAGTGAACACCCGCAACTACCTCAGTCAGGAGGACAAAGGAGGCAAGCATTGTTACTGGCTGACTGATGTGATCATCTCATGATGAGGCCCAGACGTTTTCCCTCATTTGTTTATCATTTTGCCCGCATTGTTCAGTCTAAATTCTCCTAATAGATTCTGTATGAGGAAGAACGACCAGGTTAGATGCTAGATGGTGCACAACACGTTGCACCAAAATCTCAAGCTCGTGATACAAAGCTGGGAAGCTAAGCGAGCAGTTGACGGTATACTGACGTTTGGAAGGAAATGTTTTAGTGATATTATCCATTCATAAGCGAGGTATTAATGCAGGTTTGTCAGCTCTCAATACATGGAGTGGGGTAGAACAGAGTTCTGCCGGTTGGATGAATGTGAAGTGGCAATCAGCCAACAACCACATGCGGTGGAAATATCATCAGATATAAGATGCAGCCCAGCCATATATGAAAAATCTGAACTTAATTGTGCTCATTATGGTCCCTGATGTGATTATCCCTCTTCATATTCCGTTACAATTTGCCTCTATCACATGCCATTCATTTCTCCGTAATGCAACTCCCGAGCACGTCCCAGCCTATGGCCTGCGGCTGTCAACGGACACATACCTTCCAGAGTGGGCCAGCCCCTTCCCGCGCTACGTGAGTGTGGACTATCGAGTGGCGCCCAGCAAGCAGGACTCGTGGGTCATTAGCGACTTCCACTCCTGGGACTCCGTGCCCTTTCTCGGTTGGCCCGTCAAGGACCAGAAAGACTGCTGTGAGTGAAACGAATGGGAGGGGGGAAACCTCGAGATGCATGTGATTGCCGAATCCTTTGCTTGTGTGTTCCGGTTGGGTGCTACAATCTCCAAGTTCCCCGCCTGCTGTTCTGCTGCTGGTCACTTTCATGTTTCAACCATCGCACATTACTCAACTCAATACGTGATTTGACCATTTGCTAACACACGTGGAACCTGTTATATTTTTTTACGAACTGATTTCATCATACACAGGTGCCTGTTGGGCGTTTGCGGTGGTGGCGAGCGTGGAAGTGGCATACGGCATTGCAATGAATGGAGAGGCGCCGCAGTTGTCAGTGGAGTCACTCTTTGCAGCCATGGGGCTCACCTCCGAAGCTGACAAGTGCAGCACGGGGGGCTCCCCCACAGAGGCGTTTGAAAGGCTTCTCACGCTGCCTCGCGGTGGAGTCACAGATGCTGACGCTCCTGTGAGTTGTGAGGCAAAGTGATCGGCTGGAAAGGTGTAGAGTTGCATTTAAGAGAATCGGGAAGTTCGAGTGATGTGCCTGATGTTGAGAGAGTTGCAACTATCCCACAATTGGTGATACTGGGACTCTCTCTGGCATCTAGAGCCAGCCGTTGCAGCCACTGTCAAAGGCTGTAGAACCAATGCAACGCCCTGTTAGCATCAGAGTGCTCTTAACACTTGATCATGGATTGATTGATCATGCCGGGGCCAATAGGCCAAGTTGTGGAAGCAAGAGGCAAACAACTTCTACCAGGCACGATCAAGTGCCAGCCTAAGCCAACATTCTAATCATAATGTAATGCACCCCAACATTCTACTGCTTGCTATGAATGGCTAGGTTGAAATATTTTTTTTGTGCTTGCTCCATGCGTTCTGTTGACTGTCTTCTTCAATGGCGGTCTCTTTTTGTGTATCTTTTTCTTCCTCCCTGACTGAAATGGCTTCAGAATAGGTACTACCCTGTTCACGGCTTCGAGCGCACAAGGTTCAAGGGGTTTGTGGGGCTCATGCTGGCAGTGCGACGAAAGCCAGTGGTGGTTCACATCGAGGCTTCTGCTCCAGAGTTTGCACAATATGATGGGGTGGGTGTTCCTTGCATTGACCCTACATGCTGTGCATTTGTTGTCCAGGGTTGCACGGAATCTGCTAGCGGCATTGAGTTGTATGCCTGAAAATATGCACTTTCATCCCTCCTCGGTAATTGTCATGGTGCCCCCCTTTCTCTTCAGACCTTCAAGTACCAAGATCCTGGCTGCTTTACCGGCAGACTGAACCACGTTGTACTCGTTGTTGGCTACTTCGTCTTGAGAAATGACGGGAGCCAAAATCGCATTGCGCCGCCATTTTGGATTCTCCGCAACTCGTGGGGAGTGGAGTGGGGCGACTGGGGCCACATGCGCATGGACATTCAAGGAGGTGATGGCGTGTGTGGCATCAACGTGCTGCCTGGCATCTACCCCATTGTCAAGAGTGAGCCATCTACCTGGTGGTTGGTCTTAAGTGAGGCAGCTTCCCCTGTCAGTCTCTCCATATCTCACCCCCCCTCCCGCCCCCCCCCCCCCCCTATTCAAGTACATCACAGGATCAACTATGCTTGAATGCATGGAACAAGCTTTCTATGGAAGATGTAATGAAATGGGTCCAAAGAATGGCTTACGTTTGGACTGAGTCATTTTCAGTACGTTGAGTGTTAGCCAGTGGTCTCCGCGTTTTTAGGGTGGTTAATCGCAGATTCACGTTTTCCGGATTTTTCCCTTGTTTCTTGGCAGAGCTTGCCTATTCCTGTCACTTGGCTAAGCTTGCCTATTTTTGTCACTTGGCTCCTATTCCTGTCCCTTGGCAAAGCTTGCCTATTCCTGTCACTTGGCTAAGGCTGCCTATTCCTTTCACTTGTCTAAGCTTGCCCATTCTTGTCTCTTCTGTCTCTTGGCTAAGCTTGCCTATTCTTGTCTCTTGGCTAAGCTTGCCTATTCCTGTCTCTTGGCTAAGTTTGCCTACTCCTGTCTCTTGGCTGAGCTTGCCTCTTCCTGTCATGTGGCTGAGCTTGCCTATTCCTGCCCACAGTCTGATTCAATGAAGCTGCATACGCACCTGTTTCTTCTCCTCCTCCTCGCATGTGTACCACCCTCCAGTCCCCAAGGACCCGTGTGGCCAGAGGAGCTTCAAGGGTGATGGCGAACTGCAGCCCAGCATGAACCCGTGTGGGCGGTTCTCATGCCGGGCTAACCTACGGAGCAACAACAATTCGTGTAACTGCACCATCCCAAACGAAACCAAGCAGCCATTTGTTGAAGTTGCGAATGCATATGGCTCCCAAACATGTGCCTATTGTAAGTTGTTTTCTGGTCAAACATTAATAATATTGATCCATGGGGGTTGCCAAAATGATGGGCACGATTGTTTCAGACATATTGTCAATCAAGCCTCTCTCGGTCTATATCTTTCCTCCCCCTCCCACCCCCATCTCTTCCCGTTGTTACCAGCACTTTCATGTATCTTTTTGCCTCATCCTTGTGCTCCGCAATTGTGTTTGGCAGTGGACGTGTGTGGGTCTGACTTGCAGAACCCGTGCTATGTGGGCGCATGCATCAACGATGGCAAGGGCTCCTACTCCTGCATCTGCCCTCCCAACTACGTTGAAAGCACTACTATTGATAGCTTCCCAACCTGCGAACCAGGTGCTGCTGCTTTCGCATTGTGTGTGGGAGGGTCGGCAGTGCTTTCAGTGGTTCGTATATCATAGGTTGGGGTCCTCACAACCCCTGCGACCTGCTTCCACAGTCCGGCCCTGTGATGAGCGCACACACAATTAGTAGGTTGGCTTCTATTAAGCCCTAATACTTGCTGTGTTCCCCTTCTTTTACGTTTGTTTCTTTTCAGCCAACATCTCAGCCAGCACCTTGGTAGTGAGTGGCAGCAACTGGTGGTGCTCTGATGTCCTCCCTATCGTGGGCCTCTCACTTGCCCGATTCACACAGCAGAATGCAGTAAGTAGTAGAGATGTAAAGGCTGGAGGCGTGGAGGGATAGGCAGGGCTGGTGGGACAGCAGGGAAAGCATGAACCACATTGTGGGGGCGTGATTATTGAAGAAGCTTCACAAAAATATCTACTTCAAAAGAACATCTGTGCACCTCATTGCAGGTCATCGACTGCAGCCGTCCTTCGCCTCGTAACATGATGCTTGAGCTGGGCAATTCTCTCCTCGACCCCTGCACTGCATTCTTCTACACCCTCAGTGTGAGCTTTAGCCTCGTCGTTCTACCTTCCGTTAGATTCTACCATATTGTTTCTCATCTCCTCATCTCCCATCTCAACGCTGTCTTTGCCTATCTCTGCATTGTACATAGTACAGCCGTGCTCCTTTCACGTCATGTACTGCACCTTCTCTCTACCTGTTTAGCCCTCCAAAGCTCTAGCCCTTGGCACCATTCCTCCACCTTCAACATCCTCACCGTGATCTTTAGCCCTTGGCATCATTCCTCTCTTTCCAGATCCTCTCGCTTCTGTGTTGAATCACCTCGGCAAGGCTGTCATATCATCTCGACTTTCTATGAATTGCCCATAGTACATCCGTGCTCCGTTTGCATCAAGCATCCGAGCCTTCTCGCCTGTCCCACAACCCTCCAGGGAGACACATACTGGTCCATCAGCGCCCAGCTGGTCCTCACCACCAGCAACCTCACGGCACTCAATCCCGGCCTCGACTGCTCTGAGCCCGTTAAGGCGGGCCGCTCTCTGTGCATCGAGCGCAACGCCACCTTCGCTTTCACCGTGCCTCAGTGCCTGCGATACGGCGTGTTCACAGCACAGGACACGTGTGAGCGCCTGCTGCTTCAGGTGGCGGGGAGTGGGTATGACCCAACAGGGGCTGGGAAGGTGAATGCCATGCGCTGGGCTGAGCTGTACCGCAACAATCCCGGCCTCATCTGCTCCAATGTCATCCCAGCCTCCGCCTCTGCTGTTGGGAGCAACGCTGGAGTGCAGGTGAGGGTTGGAGGTGAACCAAGATGGGGGCCGCAAGAGATGAGAGGGAAAGATGGAGGGGAAACTTGTGGACTAGACGTACATTTGATGGGTGAGGGGACAAGGGGTCATATCTCATATGCCAAATTTATGTTCGAGTTCCAGCTATTTGCCATAGCTTGTTCGTTGAGATTGTTTTTCACTGGTTCTTATCTGTGCGTCTTGATACATGTTCCTTTGTTGGATGTGTTTGTGAATGCCACCATTGCAGATTTGCCTAAGAGCAGAGTACTGGCCATTCGTTCTTGGCATATGCAAGAAGGGTAGGCAAAAGCCAGTGTCACCATCATTGGCGTGCTCGGGTGCTTACAGCTTCTATGGTGGGGCTGCAAATGGAGCGATTTCAAAACACTATATGTACAATGAGAAGAAGTGTGTTGGGAGTGTAGGGTCCAAATTTATTTGTGTACCATGATAACCACGTCAGATTCGTTTGAATCAGGCCCTGAGGTTTCCGTTTTTTTGTGTTAATTAAGTGTAGAACGGACTTATGCTTTTCACCTTGGCTAGTTCATCACCATTATTCTCTGGTGAGTGTGGATCCTCCCAACCCAGCATTTGGGGTGGCAAGGACAATAGAGGAAAGGAGGAATTGCACAGGGTGCAGTACAAGCATGCAAGTATAGTACAGACAGAGCTACACTAAGGTAAGTCCCCAGCCATGGGGAAGAAGAAGCCGACAACCAAAACCGCAGCCAAGGCAACACCTAGATCCGCTTCACCCGCCGGCCAAGCCACCGGAGCACACACGCGATCACAGGGACGATCCCAAGCGGGCACTCCTCAGCAGCCGTGGCTACCATGCGGAAAGCCGCAGCGCCAGGTCCATCGTCCAGCAAAGGGTCCGCGGGCTCAAGCGGCAGATGCACCTCCCACAGCGCACCCGACACTGCACGCCGCACCCGCCCCTGCTGGTCCTCATTCATCTGCGGATCCCGTGCCACCACCTCCCGCGACTGAAGTGCGTCATGCAGGAGGTCAAGCACGAACGACAGCTCTGTCACGCAGCGGCCAACCTCCGCCAGGTGCGTCCCACGGGACTGGTAAGCCCCATCTCCAGGCCGCGGCTCACCCCAAGGAGGGCTCGGGGGGGGAGTGTTCCAGTTCCAATTCCCTTCGCGCGGCACATGCGGCCACGAAACACCATCCCAGTCCACCTCAGGGTCACGAGGGGTCCCAGGCACCTCGTCTTCGCTCCAGTAGCCGCGGGAAAGGCCAGGCACCGGCTGATGCTGCGGGAACGAAGGGAGCGCACGATGGCGGGGGACGGGGAAAGCGCAAGACACAGCAGATGAGTGATAGGCAGGGGAGAACGACATGCGGCGGCCGGGAAGGAGATGGCAACGGGGGGAACTCACAAATCCGAACCGAGCCGCAGGGGGGCGAGACCCCGGCATAAGGGGGTGCTGGCGCTGAGGCCCATGAGGGGCGGGAACAGGGAAAGGGAGCCGGCGAGTGCCAGGAGGAGCAGACGCCGCCACATTCAGCCGAGGGGGGTACGAATACGCAAACGGCGCGGAAGGAGTTGGCCCCGAAGAGGGCGGCGCATGAGGCGGAGGAAACGGTCGAGGGGGTGGCGGCGCCGGGCCTGGCCCTGTTACCGACGACAGGGGATGCGCCTGTACGCCAACCGGAGGGGCGGGATCGGCCTGAGGAGGCGGAGCGACGGGGGCAGAAGGACACGTCCGCGGAGGCAACGCCGGCTCCGGCACTGGAGGGGGGGGCCGCGGCGGAGGGATGGGCGGTGCAGACTGCGCTGGCGCAGCCGGCGCACACGGTTGGGACGACGCGGACTGCGACTGAGGCGGAGGGAGTTGCAACGGCTGGGACTGTGTGGCCGGGGCCCGAAGCTGGGGTCGAAGACGAGCCTGGCCGGACAATGGCGGGCGAGGGGGACGATGGCGACGGAAGGAATGGCCACGTGCACGGAGAAACGGATGAGTGCGCCCGCGAGGGGAGCGGTACACGGGCTCCCTTGGTCGAGCAGGCGCCATCGGTGGCGCAGAAGGCGCGGCGCCAACACCCGCAGTCAGGCAGTCCGCGACGGCTCGGAACAGGGCTGGCACCTGCCCGCCCTGGGCCGCTGGCAGGGTGGGCACAGCAGGAGATCCTGCCGCCACGATCACTTCACGCCGAGGCGGCCGGCGCCGGCCCGTCATCAGGTACAGGGTACGAGGCGGGACGGCCCCACGAAAGAGCTGAACGGGAGGAGGCCGAGGCGGAGGATGGGGCAGCGGTCGTCGAAGAGGAGCAAGTGACCGTGATTGACAGGCGCCGAGGAGGAACACCACGGCAGAGGCTGCTGCGAGACCGCGCAGCAGAGGCGGCGGCGGGAAACCCGCCAGCAAGAACTCGGGGACGAGCACCGGTGGCGGGGAGGGGACGCGGCGGACGAGGTGCACGCGGACGGGCAGGGCGAGGGGGCCTGGCAGCACCTGTGGCTAGAGAGAAAGCTAGATCTGGGCCGTGGCGGGAAAGGCACAGGAGGCCAGAGCGATAGCAGGGAGGAGATCCAATGAATGACGACGAAGAGGATGGGGACGAGGAATATATGGAGGAGGAACAGGGGGATTCGGAGGACGTGTCACTGGAGGATGAGCAAGGCATCCCAGCGGGAGGGACAAACCGAAGGGCAAGGGGTGAGGGAAACCATGCTGACGCCAATGAGGGCGAGTCACGTGGCGTCCAGCCCAGTGAGACGGCCAGCAAGGCAAGATCACCAGCAGATATCGCCGATGATCCAGACGTCTGGCGCCAGGTGGAAGGTTGGGAACTGGGGCCAATGTGTTGCAGCGCCCAACCCTTTCTGTTCCGAAAGCTTCCCCCCAAAATCCTGGGAGTCTACGCCTACTGCATGACGATCCCTCTGCTGCGACTCGCGAAGGTTCCAGGCTGCGCGGGTGCGTGGCGAATCCTGCAATTCCTATCTAGGTTGACCCTCCGAGCCGAAATTGAGAAGGTTCAGGGAAACCGCTGGGCCGTGGTTGAGAAGCGACTTCAGCAATTCCAAGAAGAGGAATGGGAGGTGCTCTTCTCGGAAGCCTGCATCATCCCCCTGAACCCTCAACCAAGCAGACACCAATCCGACCCGGAAGGCATGTGTGCCCGAGCGGAGGGCCTAGTACAGAAGGCGAACCTGGCGAAGGCCTTAGCAGCATTACAGTCAACCCCCCTCGCCGAGCAATCACCAGCGACACTCGCTGCGCTTCGCGCTAAACATCCGATAGCAGGGGAGGCAACGCTAGGATGGGTTACCGGATACGAAACATCGTCCCTGACGATAGCGGCTGACGAATTTCGCGAAGTCTTAGCTAAGTGCCCGAATGGGATTGGGGCGGGGCCGTCGGGCACGTGCTTTGAACACTTACGTGACCCCGCGCTGCTGAACGGGGAGGTCTTCCTGCTCCTGCACCAAGTAATCAACTCGTTGATGAGTACCTACCTTTGTGCGTCCCTTAGGGATCTTCTCCTACCAGCGAGGCTGATAGCTTTGGAGAAGCCAGGAGGAGGGGTCAAACCGATAGCAATCGGTGAAGCGATCATTAGGCTAACAGCGAAAGCAGCGCTGCGGAAACTATCGCCCGATATACGGAAATTTTTCCTCCCAGTTCAGTTTGGCGTGGCGGTGCCTGGAGGAGCAGAGACAGTGATACACGCTACCCGAGCACTGCTGACGAACGACCCAACTCGAATCGCTATACAGCTGGATGTCGAGAACGCATTCAACTCCGTAGAACGTGGGAGCTTCTTCAAAGCACTCCAATGGACAGATCTCGAGCCGCTACTACCGCTGGTTCGCACGCTGTATGGCTCACCGGCACGCCTCCTACTGGATCCGGGCTTCGACGAACGATACATCGAGAGCGCTCGAGGTGTGCGCCAGGGAGACCCACTAGGGCCGATGCTCTTTGCGGCGGCCATACAACCAACAATATTGAGGGCAGCGGCGATGTGCCCCAACACGGTGGTGATGGCGTACGCGGACGACATCACAATCATCGGCGCTCCGACGGAGGCGATTAAGGGAGTGAACGTCATCATCGAGGAGCTACGCAAGTGCGGACTGCGATGCAACTTGGAGAAGTCATCGGCGTGGTGCCCGACAGGTTGCTCGGATGTTCTCCCTGAGGGACTGGTGGCGGCGGTCAACGGTATACGGGTGCTGGGGAGCCCGGTGGGGAGTAGAGAGTACGGGAAGAGGTCCATATGAACGACCCTGCGCACGGTGGCGGCGCCATTGAACCTCATCGGCAAACTGCACCCACAACACGCACTCCTCCTCCTCTCGAGATGTGTGTCGAGACGCATCTCTTACATGCTCCAAACTACCCCGGCTGACACACTATCACTGGTGGAATGGAGGGATTGGAGTGAGGAACTGCTGTGGACGGCACTCAAAGCCGCAAAGATGCACGCTCCTACAAGCGAACTGGAGCAGAGCCTGGTCTGGCGCCAGGCCACGCTACCGGTGTGCCTCGGGGGCTTGGGGCTGATAGACCTGCTTTCGGAGGCACCAGCAGCATACCTGGCCTCCCTGCACGCAGCCAACATTCTCCTCAGACACATGGCGATGACGGCAGACAACCCACTGCAGCGGGTGACAGACCTGGTGTCACCAATGGGAGGAATCCAGGGGGCAGCGGCAGGAGGGGTGACGCTTGGGGACCTTCGGAACCGGCTCCCAGATCAGGCTCGGAAGGTCCTGAAGGAGCACCACCAGAAGGGGGGGGTAAAGGGGCACCTGCAGCTGATCCTGTCAAAGCACATAAACCTAGACCGGGCGGCCGAGCTCGTGGGAGACACAAGGGCGGACAAGCCCGGAGCCGCCAATGGACACGTGATTCGGCTCATCAGCCTGCAAGGGGTGGGGGCGGGAGATTGGTTGCATGCTATCCCTACAAGGGGTGACCTCACTTTCTCCCCCGGACAGTTTGCAGTGGCGCTCGGCTTCCGGCTAGGTCTGCCCGTGGCGGTCACGGAAAAGTGCCCCTGCAAAGGGAAGCGGTCAGACATTGGGGACAGAAGCCTATCAAACCACCTTCTGCGGTGTGCCGATGGAGGGGACAGGAGTAACATCACAATGCCCTGGTGTACGCGGCGCTCCGAATGGCTTAGGAAGCGGACTACACAACCTTGCTCGAGTCAGCGGCCTTCTCGCCCATAACCAACCAAAAGCGAGCGGACGTGGTGATTCGCGACAAGGAGTCCAACGAGACCTATGTCACTGACGTGACGGTCACGGACCCTGTCCTGCAGCGGCGTGATAAGAGAGCAGTAAAGGCACCGGGGTGGGCGGCAGAGGACGCAGCACGAGTGAAGCGGGGCCTGTATGAGGGCCGCCCGGGTTTTGTAGGGGTGTTCGGTCTGGCGGTGGAAACCTACGGGGCCCTAGCTAGGGACACCCAACGTTTCTTCCGCCTCCTGGGCACCCAGGCGGCTAAGAAGAAGCACAGACAAGGGAGGCTAACTGCTGTAGCCTCCCGACTCACGGCACATTACCGGCAGCGATGGTCGGTGATGCTCCAGCGCTGCCAGGCGAATGCCCTGATGGCCAAGTCCAACAGGGCACTTGAGGCAGCGCACCCACAGGCAGCGGCGGACCCGTGGGAACCAAACCTCGGGGACCTGTGGCAGGTCCTCGAGGATGACCTGGCCCAGCTACTGGACTTCGGTGAGAAGAGGGCCGGGCTGACCCCTAGCGGTCCGCCCATCCGCAGGAGGGTCTCCTCGGCTGGGCGGGAGAAGGGGGTGGGGACTGAGGCGCCCTGCAGAGGTCGGGCAGGCCGGCAGTGATGCAGCTGTGAGGACTAGTGGAGTGACTATGCAGCTTGGCGTGGCAGGCCCACAAATGCATTGTATGTGACTACGGTCATTATAGAACTTGCGGGACTAGAACATAATACTTGCTAGGATTGCTGCTGCTTTGCTTGTACCTTATAAGCACATCAATGAAGGACTGCTTGAGAGAGAGAGAGAGAGAGAGAGAGATGAGGAGAGGAGGTGGGGGGGAGCCAAGCGTGGCGAGCCCCTCTTACGAACCTCCTTTTTACAAAGGAGGGGGAGGGGGGGGGGGGGGGGGGGGGGTGAGAGAGGGAGGAGAGGAGGTGAGGGGAAGCCAAGCGCGGCGAGCCCCTCTTATGAACCCCCGAGTCCACACCCTCTTTCAGCCACCCCCCTAAACCTCACCCCCCCTTGTTCAGCCGCAACCCGGAACCGCACCCCTTCCGCCACCCCCTCACCCTCCATTATCCGCTCCCTCATCGCCATTCACCCCACAGCACAGGCAACCCTACCGACACTCCCCCGACACCCAACACCCTTCCTCCCACCCCCCTTTCTGCCGCACGCGCAGCAGAGAGAGGGAGAAGAAGGGGGGCGGGGTAGAGGCTGAACTTGCGGCTGCAGATTCGTGTGCAGCTGCGCGTACTGGAGCCGCCACGCACGCAGCTGCGCGTGGCTTCGAACGCGCGCTGCTGCAGTGCGCGGGGCTGCTGCTGCACGTAACGAGGGTGGAGGGGGCGACGGGAAGCGGGCGACCGGGCCTCGGGCGACGGGGCCGCGGGGCGACGGAACGGCATCTGGAGAGGGCTGCAGCGGCGGGGAAAACGTGACGCAATGGCGACGGGGGAAACGTGGCGGGCTGGCGACGGGCAGCGGTTGCTGGCGATGGCGCTGGGGCTGGCGATCGTCGCTGGCGCATTCGCGAACGCGCTGGCGGGTCGCTGGCGCTCGCCATAATGTCCGCCGTGACCGTCGCCCAGAGTGCCGCGACGAGGCAGGCGACTGGAAGGCGACGGGGGGCAGCACGACGGGTTTAGCATAACCTCTGGAAACAGGAGCGGATTTCGCGCTAGCAGCATAGTGGGCCGCCATGGCACAAGGCGGATTTGGTGGGCCCATGTAGAATAGATCCTAGAAAAGACCACACTCTGATAACATGTTGAGATTACCTAGGACTTAGGTTTAGGTAAGTATCAAGGTGAAGGCCAGGTGGGGCCTTCACCTTGGCGTGTCGGGGGAGAGCAAGGGCTGGGAGCTCCTCGACATCGACGCCAACCTGGTGGTCACCACGTCGGACGTGGTGTTCTACGAGGATATGTCGCTGGAGGTGTGGAAGTCGGAGCACGGGCCGGTGCAAAGTCGGACGCCACCCGCCCCGCCGACCGATACCTCGACGGCGACGCTGCCTCTGCTCGCCGAGGTCGGTGAGCTTGCTGATGCGGACGCCGAGGTCGTCCGTCCTCCTTCCGCTTCCCCTACGCCCCCTGCCCCTCCCCTCGTGGCCGACGTGCGCGGGCTGACTCCTGTCTCGGCCTCCGGCGATGAGGGGAGTTTTGGGACGTCGCCTTTGGCGCCGGCCACGAACATCGCCGGTGGCCGACGTGACGAGCGGCAAGTCGATATGGGATTGAAGCCAACGTTGATGGGGGAGGAACAGCAGCCGACCGGGGAGCAGGCAGCAGTGAAGCCGACCACGGAGCAGTCGGCAACCAAGCAGTCGGCAGGGAAGCCGACCACAGGGGGGAGGTCGACCAAGAAGTCGACCGAGGTGCAGCAGGACGACGAGGGCAGTGAAGATGGTGACGAAGGAGGGACGCCGGGGAGTCCACCCAGAGCGACGTGGTGGAGGTTCGGCCTGAACCTCGGAAGTCGGATAGACTTCGGAGGCCGCCGGACTTCTCGTCTCCGCTGCCTCCACCACGGTGTACGACGTGGATGATGACGACTACCTGCTGTACGACGACGCCGAGGAGGATGAGGAGTTTCCGGAGCTCGACCCTGACATGCTGGCCGACCCCGAACACCGTTGGGACATCTCCACGATGACGGTGAAGGAGGCGTTGGCAAGCTGGAAGGGCCCGGCGGTGAAGGCCGCCATGGAGGAGGAGATCTACAGCCTCATCAACATGGGCACTTGGGAGCTGGTCGAACGCCCGCCGGGGGTCAACATCATGAAGAACCGGTGGGTGTTGACGACGAAGTACCACGTCGACGACACCGTCGAGCGCGAGAAGGCGAGGCTGGTCGTGAAGGGCTTCACCCAGGTGTATGGCGCCGACTACGACGAGACGTTCGCGCCGGTGGGCAGCTACGTCACCCTGAGGATCTTCCTCAGCATCGTTGCCGTCCTCAACCTCAACCTGATGCAGCTCGACATGAAGAATGCCTTTTTGCAGAGCAAGCTCGACCAGGTGCTCTACATGTCCCATCCGGACTACTTCAACGACGGAACCGGTCGGGTGTTCAAGCTGCTGAAGAGCCTGTACGGCCTGAAGCAGTCGCCGCTGTTGTGGTACTTGGCGCTCAACGACGAGCTGGTCGGCGCCGGGTGGAAGGAGAGCCAGGTCGACGAGGCTCTGTACTTCAAAGTCGACGACGACGGAGTGGCCTGCTGGGTGCTGGTCTACGTCGACGACCTGCTGGCGGCCAGTAGCAGCACCGAGATGCTGAAGGAGCTGAAGGAGCTGAAGGAGCTGCTGAAGTCCGCCTTCGAGCTGCGAGAGATCTCGCCGGTGCATAAGTACCTCGGGCTGGAGATCGTCCGCGACAGGTCGGCGGGGAAGCTATGGCTGCACCAGCAGGGCTACGCCGACAAGCTGCGTAGGCGCTTCATCGACGAGGGGCAGATTGGGCGCACCCTGAAGACGCCGGTCTCAGTCGACGCCTAAGGCGAGCTCACCTTCGACGACGAGGAGGCACAGGAGCAACAGGAGGAGGAGTACCTGCAGAAGGTCGGCTCGCTGCAGTTCGCGGCGACAACGACGAGGCCGGACATCGCCTTCGCCTGCAGCAAGCTGGGGAGCGGCCTCACGATGAGGAGCGACCAGCACTGGCGCGAGGTCGACCGCTGCCTCGCCTACCTCGCCAACACGCGTGACACCTCCCTGGAGTTCGGCGGTGGACCTGAGTCGCTGGAGCTGGTCGGCTACGTAGACGCCGACGACGCCAGTGACAAGCAGAGCAGGACGAGGACGGGCGGCTACGTGTTCGTCTACGGAGGGGTCGCAGTCTCCTGGTCAAGCCAGCGCATCAAGTGCGCGACGTTGTCGTCAACCGAGTCGGAATACGTGGCAGCCACCGAAGCCGGCAAGGAGGGACGCCGACTTCACTTCCTCCTTGCACAGTTCCGGCAGTTGGATGCCGGGAAGCCGACGTCCTTCGGGTGGACAACAAGTCGGCCATCACAGTCGCCGAGGGCATGGGGTTGACGGGCAACCTCAAGCACATGGAGCGGCGACAAGCCTGGCTGCAGCACATGGTGAAGCGTGGGAAGTTCTCGCTGAGGTACATCCCGACCACCGAGCAGCCGACCGACTTCGTGACGAAGGCGCTGCACTATCCGGCCTTCAACCGGTGCTCCGTCGCCATCGGCCAGGTGCGCTTGGCCGACGTGGGCGACGAAGTTGACGACGTGCAGCAGTAGGTGCCATGCCCTCATGCATGGCTGGTGCGGTGGACGACCGGGCGACCGTCGCACTCCTCCGCAGAACCTCGTCACCCAGGTAACCTGGTCGACCCGGCAACCACGTCGACCAGGTGCTCCTGTATGTGCCCGTCGACATCCCAAGTCGACGGCCACCTCCGGTCGACCTCACCAGGTCGACCACACCCCTGGTCGACCAGCTCCAGGTCGACGTCACTCCTGGTCGACCAGCTCCACGTCAACCAGCACAGTCGTCAGCCGACCACCCAAGTCGGCTACCCGAAGTCGGCGTCACCAAGTCGACGCCCCTTCTACGTCGGCGCCGACTTCCGGGCTGACCTCTTGAAGTCGGCGACCTCCCAAGTCGGCGACCTCCCAAGTCGGCGACCTTGCAAGTCGGCGGACTCGCAAGTCGGCGGACTCGCAAGTCGGTGACATTGCAAGTCGGTGACCTTGCAAGTCGGTGACCTTGCAAGTCGGCGACCTTGCAAGTCGGCGCCGACTTCCAGGTCGACGTGCCACATCGCCGACCACCAGTTGAAGTCGGCCACCGGCTTCCCAAGTCGGCGGCATTGCAGTGGCCCCGTGCAAGTCGACCAACCCCGTCGACCAGCTCGCCCAAGTCGGCGTCGCCCACTGCTGCAAGTCGGCTGTACCTCCCGTACACCCAACCACGAAGTCGGCTCCGCCCAAGCGAGGACGGGGCCAACAACAACTCCCGTTGACAGAAAAGACCACACTCTGATAACATGTTGAGATTACCTAGGACTTAGGTTTAGGCAAGTATCGAGAGTAGCAGTTAGAAAAATTGGAGAAGGTTGTTTCACTAAGGGAAGGTACATGATATAGGAGCGAGAGATAGCAAAGGGTGTGTTAATGTTAGCCCCCAATCCGACATTTGTACTTGTACTTTTTATATCCTAGTTTAGTGTAGTTTGCACTTTATGTTTGGTTGGGTGTACACCCACATCCCAACCAAACCCAACTGTGATCTCCATGCAATCTCCAACCCACCAATTGGAGATTTCCTTGGGATTACCCCCAATTCCCTAGGATTGCCCGCGATTCTCTCCCCACCCTTACCTTGCCTATTTCCAATGTACTTAAAGAACCTTGAGCTCAACTAATGTGCGGTATCAGAGCGTTTCAACCGCACACGCGTATCATGATCCTCCTATCTTAACGGGCCTTTGTCCCGCTGTCTTCGGCGTAGCCACCATCAATCTCGTCGCCGGTGATTCGCGACTTCTTTGGCCGGAAATTATTTTGCGCCACTCTCCCTTCTCGACGACTTTCGCAACTTCTCTGGTAAGCGCATCGTTGGCGCCTTAGCCAATCGCACTTTCTTGTCAATCGTCTTCGCTCCACTTCTTCTCGTCGGTCCGGTGCCCGTCGCCCTGCAGCTTCTCGTCGGGTCGTCGCCCGTCGCCCTGCAGCTTCCCGTCGGGCCGCCGCCCGTCGCCCTGCATCTTCTCGTCGGGCTGCCGCTCGTCGCCCCGCAACGGCACTCTGCAGCTGAACAGGAGCAGCCGCGCAGCAGAGCAGCCATGTAATCGCGAAGCTGAGCAGCAGCGTAGCCGCGAAGCTGAAGGTGGTGTGTGGAGGAGTGTGTGGGAATAGAGTTAGCTACCGAAATCGGTTGATCTGGCCTACTCTCATCGACCTCAAAATTCCCTCTACGAGACATTCCGAAGCGGCAGACATTGAAGCTTTTCGCTCTTCGAGTCCCTTGAATTTTCTCCTTCGAAAACCATAAACCTCACAATTCTCTTTCGTAAACCCAAAAACCCAAGTTTTTCAAATTCTCCTTCGGAAACCATGAACCTCAAGTTCCTATCGGTGACTCAAGAATGACTTTTCACGTGGGATCTAAAAGGTTCTCAGCCATGGCCTTCGCCTCGGCCACTCTCGCCAACCCCATGACCCCCCTCCGCCTTGAAGCCGATGGAGCTACGGGGTTGACAAGCTCCTCCTGAGCCATGAAGTGGGTGGACTTGACCTCAGAGACGTTCTTCTCAATCATGGCAAGGGAAAATAGCCCCCCATCCCCAAGGAGCCGTCCGATTCAACCAATGCTGTGGCAACTCAGGAGTACGAGGACTTTGTTGCCAAGTACCGCAAGTGGGAGAAGGCCGATGCGGCTATCATTAGTGT